CCCCTCCCACTCCCACCAGACTCCTCCTATCGGACTCCTCCCACTCCCACTGGACCCCTCCCACTAGACTCCTCCCACTCCCACTAGACTCCTCCCACTCCCACTGGACCCTTCCCACTAGACTCCTCCCACTCTCACCAGACCCCTCCCACCCACACCAGGCTCCTCCCACTCCCACCAGACCCCTCGCACCAGTCTCCCCCCACTCCCACCAGCCCCACCCCACTCACACCAGGCCCCTCCCACATTCACTGGCTCCTCCCACTCCTACTAGGTTGCCCTGTCCATCATTAGGCCCCACCCTGTGACTCCAAGACCCTCCCCCATCTCCAAGACCCTTCCCTGTCACCAGCTCCTCACCTCACATCCCCCCGCAACCAGATACCACCCTGTCACCAGTTTTGCCCCCAAACCTATTTGCCAGTGCCCAGGTAAACCACTCGGCTCCCCAGTGCCACAATGAGTGAACACACCCCACTCACCTCGGTGCAGTAACCACTCACTAACTGTCTCTGTCACATCAAAGGTCAACCATTCCCCCGCACTCTGGGGCCGTACCACCCTGCTGTCAATGTAACGCTGAGCCGGCGAGGCTGGATCCCTGGCCTTCAGAACCTGAAACGTCCCAAAGAAGCAGCTCATAATCCAGGCCTAGGGGAGTGTGGGGGTTTACGTCGCCATCCGGGGCAATGGAAGGAACAGCCCAGAAAAAAAATTACTGCATCCAAATCGTCACAGTGACCGTAACGCATCGATTTAAAACCCCGCCCCCCGCCCCACCCCCGAGGGCTGGGAACTAATCCAGGGCCTACTGTCAGGGTAGGACTGGCCTCTCGGATGAGGCCTAATCCTGGGTCTCCTCTATGAGGCCTACTCTCTGAGTGAGGCCTACTCCAGGATGAGGCCTATACTCTCCAGACATAATCTCTTCCTCCTCAAATCTAGGATAAGGCCTGCAATGTGGTGATTGTAATGAGGTGAGCCAGCAGGGAGCGGATGGGGAGGGGGTGCGGGGGTCTTATAGAATATGAGTTCCCTGATTGGGGCTGTTAATCTGGTACAATCAGGGAGCCCTGGCTGACAGGTAGAAACAGGAGTGACAGAGGTTCTGCTCGTGTGAGAGCTGTCTCTGAGGGAGCCGGATCAGTGTCAAGGACTCTCCACGTGTAAATAAAGGGTGGCTTGGTGACGGGATACCAGTTTCTGTGGATGAGGCCTACTCTCCAGATCAGGCCCCCTTCGGGGTCTGCTTTCCAATTGAGGCCTTCTTCAAGGCGGAGACTTTATCTCTGGATGACACCTCCTCCATGGGGCTGTTCTCAGGATGAGGCCTCAGGGATGAAGACCATTCCCATTGCATCAGCCTTCCTCCCAGGCCATGACTCACCCCCTGGAGAAAGCTTACTCTCCAGGTGAAGCTTCCTCCCAGCATGAGTCCTATCCTCCCAGGCTGAGGCCTAGACTTTGAATGAGGCCTACTCCCTGTTGAGAGCAACTTCCAGGATGAAACCTTCATCCAGGATATTGGCTCCACTCGACACAACACTCCGGAAAACTCAGCCTATAATCTAGGCCGACACGCTTAGCGAGTCGGGGTTACTGAGGAAGCACAAGGATTGTCACTGCATTACTTTGGATGCTGCCCACTCACCTTTAGGAAGGTTCTGTGGTTCAGGAAGACTTCCTTGTTCGTAGGGCCTGTGAATTAACCCTTTCCCCTCAGTACTCCCCCACCCCCATCCTTGTGTTATGTCTCGCAAACTGTGAGATGTGCTCATAATATCATCACTGTATCATTGCAAGTGATCTGAGGGATTAAAAAAAGGTCTCCTACTCCATCTTACCCTAGGGCCACTAGAAACATGACACTCGAAGTCAAGCATTCGGCTCTCTGGTCTAATCAAACGGTCTGAAGTTGGCCCAGACACTTATGTGCCTCACAAATGTAATGCTTGTGTATAATAAGCAGAGGCTCAGTGGTTAGCATTGCCGCCTCACAGCACCAGGGACCTGGGTTCGATTCCAGCCTCGGGCCGTGTAGAGTTCACACATTCTCTGTGTGGGTCCCCCTTGGGTGCTCCGGTTTCCTCCTACAGTCCAAAGATGTGTAGGTTAGGTGGATTGGTCGTGGGAAATGTAGGGTTACAGGAATAGGGTAGGGGTGGTGGGTCTGGATGGGAAGCTCTTTGGAGGGTTGGTGTGCACTCAATAGGCCTTTTTTCACACTATGATTCTGTGAATAATTAACTGTAATATTAACAGTGTACAACAATGTCTGACGGCTCCTTTAATACCACAGTAACCACATCCATTTTCCTATTGTTACCAGGGATAACAGGAAGGATGTGGTAGCACGAGAGTCGGTACAGAGGAGGTTCACCAGGATGTTGCCTGGGACGGAGAAATTGAGCTGTAAGGAGAGACTAGATAGGCTTGGATTGTTTTCTTTAAAACACCGAAGGCTGAGGGGGGACATGATTGAGGTGTATAAGATTATGAGGGGTGTGGATGGGGTGAATAGAGAGGAGCTGTTCCCCTTGGTTGAGGGTTCAATCACGAGGGGAGCATAGTTTTAGGGTAAACGGGCAGAAGATTCAGAGGGGGTTTGGAGAAAAATGTTTTCACACAGAGGGTGGTGCGTGTATGAAATGAGCTGCCAGAGGAAGTGGTGGAGGCTGGTACAATTACAACATTTAAGAGGCATCTGGATGGGTACATGAATAGGAAGGGTTTAGAGGGATACGGGCCAAATGCTGGCAAATGGGACTAGATTAATTTAGGATACATGGTCAGCATGGACGAGTTGGGCCGAAGGGTCTGTTTCCATGCTGTGTGACTGTATGAGTGTCTTGTGTGCTGATGCCAATAGACCGCACTATGATACTAACACATCACCTTAGAGATTCACAGCAAGGGGGCAATATAGGGATCAGCATGGACGAGTTGGGCCGAAGGGTCTGTTTCCGTGCTGTACATCTCAAAGAGACCGTGACACTCAGCGGGTGGCGGGGATCTGGAATACACTGCCTAGGAAGGTAGTGGAGGATGGAAACCGTGTAAAAACAAAAGTATTTGGATATCATAACATTCAAGGATATGGGACAAGTGCAGGAAATTGGGATTAGCGCATTTTTACTGGTAGCTGTGTTGGCACAGACTCGATGGGCTTTTTCTGCGCTGTATGACTCCAGTCAATCAACAATGACAGATCAGATATAACATCCCGCTAGAGGCAAACACAGACCACAATTTCAGCTCTGCCTCTGGCCCCTCTCTAACACACCCATTACCTGGTACAGCTCGATTCTCTGCTCTGCCACTTGGGATTTCTGGTATCGGATACGATACAATCGGAATTCCGCCTTTACCAGGCTCGAGACGTTTTTCTCCAGGCTGGAAGCATCAAAGTGGATCAACCGGAAGTATGGGTTGTAGAAACTGGTGGAAATAGTATCTGAGGAGAGGGGGAGAAACACCGAGGGGGAATGGATGAGTCAAGAAATAATCACGCAGTCCTCCCGTCCAAACGCTCCTGCCAGACTCCTATAACCTCCTGAGATTCCCACTCCCTGAAACATCGCTGGGAATCTGTGCCAAGAGACATCAAGATACAAACTGGAGGGAGGTGAGAACAGAAAAGGACAAACTGAGGACAGAGGGAGCGAGACACAAACATGGAAGGGAGAGAGAATGTGAAATGCAAACTGAGGACAGAGGGGGAGAAAAGAACATGAAGGTTTGGCGAGGAAAGGACGAGATGGAGATTCCCAAAGGAGCCGGGGAAGAGAGAAATAGGGAGGGAAAGAAAGTGAGGAAGGAGATAGAGAGAGGGGTGTAGAGACAGAGAAAAAAATACATAAATTGGAGAGATACAGAAAAAATACATTCCCCAGACTCATTTTCTGTAACACCAATATTCTGTTAACTCATTTCCTTTTCAAATATGTAGAGAAACTCTTGCTTTCTGTTTTTATGTTTCTAGCTAGCCTTCTCTTGTACTCTAATTCTTCACCACTCATTAAACTCACAGATAGCTACAGCACAGAAAAAGATCCTTCGGCCCATCAAGTGTGTGCCAGTCTGTGATAACCACCCAAATACTCTAACCCTATTTCCCAGGACTTGGCCCATTGCTTTAGCATCATGAGAGCACATCTACATATTTCACAAATGTTATGAGGATTTCTGCCACCTTTACAGATTCTTATCACCCTATAGGGAGACAACCTTTCTTCATGCCTCCTCTAAACCTTCAGTCCTTCTTGGAAAACTTATGCCACCCTGGTTATTGCTCCATCTATCAAGAGGAAAAGTTTCTTCCTGTCTGCCCCTTATTATTTCATACATCTCAATCATGTACCCTCTCAGTCTCCTCTGCTCCAAGGAAAACAACCCCAGTCTGTCCAATCTTCCTTCAGAACTGAAATTCTCCAGCCCAGGCTTCGTCCTGGTTAAGAATCATAGAGCTGTACAGCGTGGAAACAGACCCTTTGGTCCAACTCGTCGATGTTGACCAGATATCCCAAATTAATCTAGTCCCATTTGTCAGCATTTGGCCCATATCCCTCTAATCCCGTCCTACTCATGTACCCACCCAGATGCCTTTTAAATGTTGTAATTGTACCAGCCTCCACCACTTCCTCTGGCAGCTCGTTCCATACACGCACCACCCTCTGCATGAAAATGTTTGCCCATTAGGTCTCTTTTATATCTTTCCCCTCTCGCCTTAAACCTATGCCCTCTAGTTTTGAACTCCACCACCCTGGGGAAAATACGTTGGCTGTTCACCCTATCCATGCCCCCCATGATTTGAAAAACCTCTGTAAGGTCACCGCTCAGCCTCCGACGCTCCAGGGAAAATAGCCCCAGCCTATTCAGCCTCTCCCTGTAGCTCAAACCCTCCAACACCAGTAACGTCCTTGTAAATCTTTTCTGCACCCTTTTCAAGTTTAACATTTTTCCTATAGCAGGAAGACCAGAATTGAACACAGCATTCAACGTAATCAACATCTCTCCTAAAACGTGGATTCCAGAATTGCACATAACAATCAACCTGTGCTTTAAACAAAAATTCGATCTAGTCATCCGACCTGCTGCCCACGTTTGCACAATAATATGCTTTTTCTTTAAGTTTAATACTGCTTTTAACCTTTTATGTTAACCATAGATAGTGGGTCCTCCCCTTGGAAACTTTCTTTCATTCCTGTTAAACATCCAACATTGCATCTCTATTGACCAAAGCCCTTAATCTAAATTGCCAGTCCATTGATACTAATTCTATTTCCATGTTCTAATAATTGCCTTTATTTGAGCTTAATATATTAGTTTTAGACCCAATCTTCTCTCCCTTATATTGGATATAAAATCGAACCATATTCTGGTCATTTCTACCTTGAGGTGCCTTCAGTATGAGATCATTAATTAATCTTATCTCATTACATAAGAAATATCAGGTCTATCACTGTCTGGTTGGCTTCAGAACATGCTGCCCTTTGAAACTACGCCAAACAATGTTCTATAAACTCAACTATGTTACCTTTGCCCATCTGATTTTTCCATTCTATGGTTTCCTGAACTTTGGTCATCCTTTTCTCTTGTGCTAATATCATCATTAATTAATAGAACCGCCCCTCCACCTTTCTCTTAGCCTCCTATTCTTCCTAAAGGTGGTGTACCCTTTAATATCCAGGCCCCAATCTACATCGCCCTACACCAATGTGTAATGTAGGGTCACTGGACCCGAAATGTTAAATACAATTTCTCTCCACAGACGCTGCCAGACCTGCTGAGCTTTTGCAGCAATTTCTGTTTCTGTTTCTGATTTCCAGCATTTACAGTTCTTTCAGTTTTTTTGTTCTGTGTAATGGCTATCAGGTTGTGCTTATTTACATCCGTTGCTTTGTCAGCTCATCTGTTTTATCCTGAGTGTTACACGCGTGCAGATAGAGTCTAATTTTGTCCTTTTGTTCTTTTTATAATCTCTCGCCTTGCCTGATGTCTTCTTGGATCTGTACTTTCTCCCCCATCCTCTCCCGGTCTGTTTCTCATTCACCACGTTAATATAATCCTCCATTGTCAGTTCTCTAATCTTTGATCCAACCATTTAGTTTAAAATCCTCTCTACCTCCTAGTTATGTGACTGACAGGAACACTCGTCCCGAAATGGTTCAGGGTTGATACCTCCTGAAGACAAGAGCCCTCACTTTCCCTGAACCAGCATCCCAAAGACTGGAAAACACTTCTCCTGCATCAGTTTTTGAACCATACATTCATCTGTCTGATCTGATTTGCCTTGTGCCAATTTGTACACGGTTCAGGTAATGAGCCAGAGGCTCTGCTTCATAACTTAGTGCCTAGTTCCTCATACTGACTGTGCAGAATCTCTTTGCTTGTCCTGCCTGTGTCATTTCTACCTACAGGGACCACAACAACAAGATCCTCCGTCTTCCGCTCCAGGTTCCTTTCCAGTCGTGAGCAGATGTCCTGAACCCTGGCATTGGCTGGGACCCTTGCTCTTTGAGGTCCTAATCACTTGCTGCTTCTGCAGACTAACTTTATGTGATTAATATACCTGAACACCCAAATCCTTCTATACCATGTCATGCAGTCACTATCCACTTTATTGCTTTTCTGTTCTTCATGTCAAAATAGTCAAGTTTACACTTACCCACATTATACACTATCTGCCCAATTTTTGCCCCTTCTTGTCCATGTCATATTGCAGACCTCTCTGCCTGCTCTTAAAAACTTACCTGTCTTGGCATAATTGACAAAAGATTCAAAAGCTTGAACACACGCACCAACAGGTTCAAGAACAGCTTCTTCCCTGCGTTGTTAAACTGCTGGATGGACCTCTCTAACTTCAAATAATGTTGATCTTGCCTTGTGCATCTGCCTGTATTGCTCGCAAAACAAAGCGTTTCACTGTACTTAGGTACACATGACTACAATAAATCAAATCAAATCAACTCAGATATAGTGGCCATTCATTCAGCTTCTATGTCCCAATCATTTTTTTTAATCACTTGTGGAATGTGGGCGTCGCTGGCTGGCCAGCATCTATTGCCCGTCCCTAGTTGCCCCCTTGAGAAGGTGGGGGTGAGCTGCCTTCTTGAACCGCTGCAGTCCATGTGCTGTGGTTGACCCACAATGCCCTTAGGGAGGGAATTCCAGGATTTTGACGCAGCAACACCAAAGGAATGGTGATATATTTCCAAGTTGGGATGGTGAGTTGCTGGGAGGGGAACTTGAAGGTGGTGGTGTAAGGTAGATAAATCCGTGGGACATGATGAAGAGTCAATGGCCAACTCCTGCACCTATTTTCTATGTTTCTATGTATTCCAGGACTTTGTGGGAGGCCTAGGGAGGGGCCTCTAGCTGAGATATTTGATAGCCATGGGTAGAGTGCCCAAAGATCAGAGGGTGGCTAATGTTGTGTCATTATTTAAGAAAGGCTGCAGGGAAATGCCTGGGAACTACAGACCAGTGAGCCTAACATCCATGGTTGGTAAGTTATTAGGGGGTTTCTGAGAGATAGAATCTACAGGCATTTGGAGAGGCAAGGACTCATTTGGGATAGTCAGCATGGCTTTGTGCGTAGGAAATCATGTCTCTCAAATTTTATTCAGTTGTTTGAGGGGGTGACCGAGAAAGTAGATGAGGGCAATACTGTAGATATTGTCTACATGGACTTTAGCAAAGCCTGTGACAAGGGACCGCATGGTGGGCTGTTGAGTAAAGTTATATCTCATGGGTTCCAAGGAGAGCTGGCCAATTGGATATAAAATTGGCTTGAAGATAGAAAGTGGTGGTAGAGGGTTGTTGCTCAAAACTAGAGACCTGTGACCAGTGGTGTGCCACAGGAATTGGTGCTGGGTCCACTGTTATTCATCATTTATATAAATGATTTGGATGAGAATTTAGGAGGTGTGGTTAGTGGATGGCACCAAGTTTGGTGGTATAGTGGACAGTGAAGAAGGTTATCTGGGAATGCACCCAGATCTTGATCAAATGGGCCAGTGGGTTCAGGAATGGCAAATGGAGTTCAATTTAGATTAATACAAGGTGTGGCATTTTGGCGGGTCAAACCAGAGCAGGACTTACACAGTTAATGGTAGGGCCCTGGGTAGACTTACAGAATAAAGAGACCTTGGGGTACAGGTTCATTGCTCCTTGAAATTGCAGTCACGGATAGACAGAGTGGTGGAGAAGGCTTTTGGCATGCCTGCTTTCATCAGTCAGATCACTGAGTTGGGATGTCTTGTTGCAGCTATACAAGATGTTGGTAACTAAGGTTCTTGAATAGATTTGTAGCTCGGGTTGTGGATGCTGTGGTTGGGTTCGCTCGCCGAGCTGGTTCATTAGTTCGCAGACGTTTCATTACCCTGCTGGGTAACATCATCAATGCAGCCTCCGATGAAGCGCTGTTGTGATTTCCGCCTGGTATTTAAACTCTGGGGTCCATTGGAATTGGTTACCTCATTTCCGGTTTT